CTCCTTTTTGTCAGGTGCGGACAATCCTTTTTTGAATGATCAGCCCCCGAACAATGAAAGCACCGGTTCTCCTTAGCGTTCAACCGGGAATGCTCAAACTTGCAGCGATGTCCACGACGGCAACCCTGGTCCGTGCGCCAGAACCGACAGGCATTCTTGTCCCCCACGTTCTTGGTCTCCAACGTCCACCATAGCCTTCACCGTCGGCGCCGACGTCCTCGAGGTCGTTGTAGTCGCGGAGGCCACCAACATCTCCTCCGCCTCGGCTTGCAGCATCTCTGCAAAGGTCTTCACCGAGTCCATACTCGGGCGAGTATCCACCTGCAGCTGCCTGCAGAGTGAGAAGCGGTATGCCGTCTGCGCACCAGACTTGGCCGGATGGTCAGAAACCTTGACCAGCACCCCAGCCAAAACCACTGGGTCAGGTAGAAGACTCCCAGCTCCTCCGCCCGACTCCACCAACGCCTCCGATGGCGCACGTTCTGCGTCACTTCAGCCAGAGACCCCGTCGCCTTGATGTCCGTGAGGTACTTGATCAAGTTGATACGCTCACCTTGACCCCCCGGCTGGTACTTGATGTACAAGGCAAAGAGGATCTGCGCAACCTGCATCTTCCTCACTGCCACCACCTCCGACTTCAACTCCGGAGGGATTGCCTGCAACAACAGGCTGACCAGTTTGCGTTCCGTGCGCGGCCACATAGTCGCAGCCGCATCGTTGTTGGGGCGCAGCCTCAACCTTTGGAGAGGATCCGCCGACAGCCACAACGTGTCTCCCACGCTCTTCAAAGTCATTCACATTCATTAACCACCATTGGCTGGCCTGCTGACTCAACTCCGCCACCACGCTGAGGAAGTTCAATGGTCCTCAGGTTTTCCCCCACGCCTTCAAGGTCTCCACCATAGCCAACCCACCCAGGTCCTCCTCGTCCATGAAGTCCCCCATAGCCAGGAAGAGCTTGTCCCGCAGTCCTCCAGCCCTGTTGGGCACCAGATTGATGCCAGGCGGACACGGCCATGGGAAGGCAGGTTTCCCCCCCGCCCCACCACCTGGGATCTCCGGCACAGACTTGTAGAGAGTCAGACGCGGCCTGCTCAGGGTTGTGCATCTTCTGAAGCCCAACTAGTTGCTCAGCATCTTGAAGACATTGGGCTTCGACCGGATCTTCACGCTTCTCGTGGCCCGATTCCCCCTGCGTCTTCATCTTCTCAACCGACCATGGATTCACCGGGGAAACCTGAGACTCATCACGAGGTGCTTGGGCAGCTGGTTCAGGTAGAACACCATGAAGTCCTCCTCCAGGATGTTGACCACCCCCACCAGGCAGATCTCCATGAACTTCACTCCGGAAGTATGGGGAGTTATCCCCTCGCCCCCAGTTCACTTCCACCTGTAAAACTTGGGAGAGGCGGAACCCCTTGACCAGGCCAAGCCACCGGCAGCACCCCTTGTACTTGAGGAAGAAGAGCTTGTAGTCCTGTGACGTAGTTCCCATCCCGGCCAAGAGCGGACCAACATTGGGAGGCGGCATCAAAGCCGACAGCGTCCCCCCATGCGCCGCACCTCTTTGGGCAGGAGCTCCACTCCTGCCAGCAGCCAATGCCACCTCTGCTGCAGCCTTGGCTGTCAGCTCCAAGCTTCTCGCCCTGGCCGGAGTCTTCGGCTGCGGGTTCTCCTTCTCCTTCTCAGCGGCTTGGGCTGCCAGCATGGCATCCAGCCTTTCATCCGCGGTCATCCGTCTTTCTTTGGATGCCGCTCTTCTTCGATCCATCGCCGCCATGCACGAGGATCACCGAGTGCGCACCGCAGGGCTTGGGCTCAAAACCCACGGTGTCAAAACAGCTGACGCACAGCGCAGCTTATTTCTTGAGCCAAAGGTTTGTGACGCCGTTTTGGCATGGTTTGATGGCACGTCATGTGCACTTCATGACTTTTGTGCGACCGTGTTCGACGATACGCATTTTGAATTAGACCGTTGGACGCACGCCCGCGCGCGCGCGCGCGCACTGACACTCCAAAAATGAAATGCTTGTGGGAGTGGGACACAAATAGAGATCAAAAACCACTTGAACCCCAGTCGGTATCATGTAAGCAGGGCTAGCTATTCAAAGACTAAAGGGAAAAACGGTAGCCTAGGATCGATGTGGGCTCCGCATTGTTGTGTCCACGTTCTCGACTTTGGCACCGTGCAATGCGGGTTGCGAGATAACAGCCCTGAAACAATGGACCTCACAAGATCTAAATCCTTGTAGTGTGCGTCCGGATTATTGCTCATGAACTTGAGCAAACGATCTAGGTCCTAGGTGCAACTCTTTGATCCCAGCGTTAGGCTCAACATCAATGCACGGTTGCACTGTGTGGGCGAAGAAAACAGCAGAGGCGCACCATCCACAACAAGGATAAGCTCGGCCGCCAACATGCGAGGGTCTAGCACGGTATCCCCATTTCAGAATCGTATCATTGTAGACCCCTCCCAATTCGCCGAGCCGAGGGGGGGTCTAACCTCTTTGCGCGTTTTGGCGCTTAGGCCCAGTTTTGGGGTCTACGATGCAACCACCGAGGGCCCCAGCAAGTTGAGAGTATCCCATATCTATATATCTGTCTGTCTGTCTATCGATCTATCTTTTCATCTATCCATTTATTTGTCTATATCTATCTATTTGTCTACATTTATCTGTGTTTATCTATCTATTTATCTAGCTATCTACCAACCTATCTAACATTACCTATCTATCATTATCTATCATTATCTGTCATTATCTATCTATCTATCTATCTATCTATCTATCTATCTATCTATCTATCTATCTATCTCTCTCTCTCTCTCTATCTATCTATCTATCTATCTATCTATCTATCTATCTATCTATCT